ATATCTATGCCCATCAGCAATAGTCAACAGATCACAACTCAGGAAGATGGGAAATAAGACTGAAAAAAAAAAAGTAGCAATTTCTGTGCATCTATCCACATAGAAGCTACTCCTATTTGGAAGGCATTTCTCAGGTCTCTTAGATCTTTCAAAAAATCACATAGATCAGAACATATTGAACAACCTCATACTGGACTCCAGGATACAGTGTGGGTGTTTACTACTCTTTTTCTGAGTCAAAAGCACTTTACTGCCTCCAGGCTTCCAAAAGAAACAGATGCTACGCCAGGGACTGTCACAACCACAAATCCAAAGTGGGCACTTCAACCCTCCACTCATCCATCAACCTGAGTACGACTTCTTCAAAGGCTGTTCTGAAGCTGATCTGCTGCAGCAACCTGTGTACAAGTACAGCTTGTTACATGCATCTGGGGACTACTTTCCTCAATGGATGAGTGACAGCAACAAATTCAAGATGGGAATGCCTCTAAATAGTTTACGTTTAACTCAGAAAGAATCTGAATGATACTAAAAATTATGCTCTATCCCAATACAGTTTTAAATTCAGCCTTTTAGGTCCTTATGGAGCATGTGGTAATTTCAGTTACTGCCTTTCTCCATAACCCATACGGTACTATGGATAAAAATGTTAAAGATTAAATTTGCAATCTGAAAAAAGGCATTTCAGTGGTTGTCTCCAAAACAATCCTCCAGGTGTTTTTTTTAAATCTTCAATGCCTTTTTCACCATCATCTTCATTAAAAAAATCTGAAACGTGACCGATCATCAACACAACAAGTATAGTAATAATGGTGTGATCAAGCAGCCTGAATAAAGAAGGAACAATACTTCATCAAAAAATGAATCATATTTCATCGCAGCAACTAGTCTGAAGTTCTCTTCTTAAATTACTAAGAATAATGGTCAGAACTGCTGAAGTTCACAAACGGCTAGTAAAGTATCAGTAGACCAAAAAAGGACAAACATTTCTGTCTCCAAGATAACAAGAGAAGAAAAGCAGCCTGGGAGGTATTCTACTTAACATCAATTTGTAATTCTCCAGAATATAAATACAGAGAAAAAAAGAACAACGTGCAGGCTCAAAAACAGGCTCAAAAACAGTCAAAAAACAATAGCAAACATGGATTTGTTAACAACAAAGCATTCCAGACTGACAGTCTAACTTTAGCCTCAAGCCACATTAGGCATACAACTCAGAAGTAATGATATTGCCATAGTAAGAGGTCACGTGTGAGGGCCAGGGAAAGCTTACCTATAAAAGAAGGAAGACCAGGGTAGGAGAAAAAACAGCAAAATGAAATGTTTCTATTTCCTTTAAATGATGCTCTCAATGTGAAAGGTCATAGAGGTATTGCAGTATTCTTACAGTAACATTAGCAGTAATGACTGCCTTGCTACTAGAAAAGAAAAATGGTGCCAAAAGCTCCAGACACCTCCAGGAAGGCAAATAACATCTAAAAGTAGGTTTCACTAGAAGGTGGAGAGGCACTGGAATAGGCTGCCTAGAGAATCTTGTGCTGTCCCACTCCCAAGCCATTCAAGGTCAGGTTGGATGAGGGCCTTGAGCAACCCAATCTAATGAGTAGCAGGGAAGTGGAACTGGATGGGCTCTTAAGGTCCTTTCCAATCCAAACCATTCTGTGATTCCAGCTGCGAGCCTGGAATGGAAGCTAGTGATGCATGAGAACCTATAAGCAGAAGCAAGACCATATAACTCTTCAACTTTGTTAACATCAGCAGTAAACTGGATGTTTCAAACACACTCTGTAGCAAGATTAATGTGGATCAAAATGTCAAATGGCCCCAGTATATGAAGGGGTCACGTACTATGCTTACTGGACTTATCACTGACTAAATTAGAAGGCCATTGTGGGGTACAGGGAAGAGATAGCTAGCTGTTCAATAGCTTAAGTTCACACCTGTACAAAAATGCGTGGCACTTAGCTACAGGCATTGGTAGTGATGCTGACAAGCGAGATTTTCTTCCCATTTAACCTAAATATGCATACAGTTCATATGTTTACCTCATTCATATACTTAGATTTTTTCATCAGTAGCCATTATGGTTAGGAATGAAGGTCTAAAGATCTTTTTAGATTTGATCAATGGCCATTTCTTTTGATTTGATGCAATTTGGCAATATACACTTACATTGATAGCAACAACTAGAGCTTTGCTGACAGCAAACTAAATCTCTGCTAATTCATGTGTTATCTGGTCATACACCAACACCTGACTGACTGACTGTACCTATTAGTTACTATTTTCAGGAGTGCCTCATCAAAGAAACAAACTTGATGAAATGACTTCCTATTGATGAAGAATAAATCAAGGAATTTGAAAAGGTCTTAGAATTCAAGATACTCAAAATATAATGAATCTTTCCAACAAATGGTATTTTCTTCTTAGGTACATATACTAGTTGCTTATTCTAGTTCTGTAGTAGAAATAAATAGAACACTAGGTAGAGAACTTTTTCTACAGCCAGATAAATCTAGCCTGATGGACTGCACACTCCAGTGAAACACAGCAGAAATCAGAGAAATTGTTCTAATAACCATGACAGGACTGCCAAATGTTTAAAACATCAAATTTTTAAGGGCGACAATAAGTACATACTGCTGAAACTTGACGACAAATGCATTTCCAGCATCAAATTTAAATATTCTTCATTAGCACACAGCAAATATATGATGCATTCCAAGCTGTCAATAGTTGAACTGCACCAAAGTCTGGCAATAGGAAGAGCATAAATTAGGAAGACAGTTTTTCTTTCTTCATAATGGAGTGCAATTCATTCCAGATAGCCATAAGAGGGCACTTATAGTGAGAAGAAAATGACAAAAGCCCAGGGCATATTGGACTTGCAAATTTGAAAGCAGAATAACAACTTAAAGTTCCGCTGCTGTTTGAGGGAGTGTCCGGGAACAAATAGTAATACAATACTAACTTTGAGCTTCTTGGCTTTTAAATTAAAAGATTTAAATGATAATACGAAGGAAGTACATTCTCACACACAAACCACGTGTAAATTAGATAACTGTAAACAGGTGGTAAAAATCCTGATGAGCTACTTAGAGCACTAGAAGAAATTCAAGTCAGAGAGGTTAGCTATCACAAAGCCAAGTCTGGTCTGAGCACATCTGTCTACTATGTAGAAGCCTTTGCTAGAGGAATGACAGCAGGAGAGGTTATCTGCTAGGATACTGAGTGAATCCTAAAGAGCTACCACCAGTAGTTGGAAAGATATATAAGCCTTTTTACTACTTTTCATGCAACTTTGGAGTTTCCTGTTCTAAAAATGAAGAATCATTTGAAGCATCTTTGCAAGATCTGCATTTGCTTGCTTTGGCAAATTACAGGGACACCCTATTCAAAACTTTCAGTGTTACAAACCTAGGAAGATTTATGTAAAATCAAAACACCTAAAGGAATGGAAACAGCCAACAAGCTTATTGAGCATCCCATGTCAAGACTTCAGAGTAGTCTTGCACATAAACTACTTTTGAAACAACAAAAATCTAAAATATATGTGAAAACCTTATTTCTCACTCATACTAACCTCCAGTAAACCACAGGAAGTCTTCAGTTACTAAGTGAAATACTACTTATGAAAGTTTTCTATGGGATATCAGGTTCTCCTTTCCATCCCATTCTGCCTCCTCAGACTACTCCTTTACAAAATAGGAGTAAAAATAAAATAAAATACTCTTATATAAAATAGGGAAGTCAAGGGCATTTGCACGCCTTTAACTGTGTTGATAAGCAACTGAAATGCACTCTCATTTTGTAAGTATAACCTTAAAATTCCTAGTTCTGAAATCATTCATAAGCCCTGCAACTTGTAACTTACTCAGACCTACCAACATATACACAACCTTTTTGTGTATTACTGTGTTTTTCACTTGAAGTTTTCAGAATTACAATTTTATGATTGAGAGTGATATACAGAGTTTCTACAAGGTCACAGAGACATCAACAATGAGAAAATGAAAGTCGTATTTCATCTTCCACTTTTCCTACTTCTCCTCACAAGCAACCTGAAATGCATCTGCCCTGACATCTATTCTAGATGAAGTGTTTCATTTCAGAAACACAGAATATCAGTCAGGATTTGGATAGTGATTTTCATGAAAAAGGCAAGTGTCCAGATAGAGAAAACAAATATTCCCTGAGATGAGGCAACATTAGTATTACCCACGAGATTATTTTAATACATTAATTCTTCCACTCGTTTTCATGTCAGATGTCAAGATGCATAAAGAATCAGGCTGCTGAAGCAAATAGCTCGTAGAAAGCAAACTTCGTGAAGGAGGATGCCTCCAAATTACATGCTCATCGGGTGCGTTCCTGTATATCTGGAATACTGCTTAGGGAATCTCTCCAAATGCAAATCAATGTAATTGACTGCTCCTTTCCCAGATAAATCAGTAACTCTTATATACCAAGTTAATACAGGAGGAAGAAGAAAATTCCTTATGGTTACGCTCAAAATACGTGAAGCAACTTAAGCACAGTCATAGAACCACGTGAATTGGAAGGGGCCTTTAAGGATCACCTAGCCTAAGTCCCCTGCAATGAACGGGGACGCCCACAGCTACGTCACGTTGCTCAGACTACAGCCCAACCCTGAGTGACTCCAACGACGGGACATCCATCAGCCCTCTGGGCAACCCGTCCCAGTGCCTCACCGCACCTATTGTAAAAAGCTTTTTTCTTACATCTAAACCTAAATCCCGCGCCCTTGGGCTCCTGGCCCCGTAGAGACCCAAACGCTCCGCAGCAGCCGGCTGGAGGCGGGCTGCCGGAAGACGCCGCACCGCCCATCAGCCCCCGCGCATGCGCACAGCCGCTAGTAGGGAGGGCCGGCCGCAAGCTGGGCTGGCGGCGGATGGTCCGCGCTGCGTGCTCACGCACAGCCTGAGAGGCCGGGAATGCTCCGCGCGGCGCGGGCTGCGGACAGGGCGGCAGGCTGTTACCTGTGCGAGGGTCCCGCGGTGCAGGGCCCGGATCACGCCGCCCGGTGTCGCCATGGCGAAGGCGGGAAGGGGCGGGGGTGAATCGGGCCTGAAGCGCGGAAATGTCGGCGCATGTGTCCTAGTGTGGTGCCTGTGCGGAGTACGCATGCGCAGGCCTGGAGAAGCGGTTTGTGGGCAGGGCGGCGGGAGGGGCGGTGCAGGAGCGGTGCAGGAGCGCTGCGGGCGGTTAATAGGCTTTTTACGTTTTAAAGCGGTATCTTTACCTCGCGTTGGGTCGTAACTTAGGTTTATTTCCCGATACGGTACTAGAACGTAAAACGTCAAAAATCTGCTTTTGCAAGAGTGTGATTACCAAGGAGAAAGCTTTGCAGCACCGCCTAAATAGAAATGTTCTAATGTTGTTATCAACCAAGGCACCAGACGTTGGTTTCAGGCAGAGTGATGAAGAATAAAGCTCTGTGGGTTTCAGTGGTAACAGACTGAAGAATGAAAGTACAGATCATAGATATGAATTTGAGTTAATATGTGTAGCTGTACAAAGGCAATACTTCTCAGGCTTTTTCAGTATCTTTGAATTAGTACCACAGAGCATTCTAATTAAACTTACCAGAAAAGCACACATTTAACATACTAAGCGTTGATTAGCTGACAGCTTTCCAAAGATACTGGTCAAATTTGAATTGGGAGACACTTAAGTGGACGTCTGTGGTGAACTTCTACCACAGCCCTTGCTCTACCCTACTCAGTAGTGTCAGTGGTGATCTAGAATACACTGAATAATTCATATTTGAAATCTGCCCTTGACACAAGTACTTGTAAATAACAGCAGAAACTTGGCCATCACTCAGTTTATTCTGATAATCAGAGTATGTTAAAACAAAAATATGTTTTAAAAAAACTGAATAAAAACTGGAAAAAAACTGGAGTAAAAACATGAATTCAGGTAGTTGTTTTTTTTTTCCTCTTCAACCAAGCCTGAAATACTACTTGGAAGTCTTTGCTGAAAGACCTAGAATTTGTGTTGGACAAATAATTATATCTACTGCAATCCTGTTTCTGAAATGATGAATTAAGTTATTTGTCTCACTACTGGAGTATTGAACAGTAGATAAAAAGTTCAGTTTGGGTGTCCTTGGTTAGGAAAAAATACTGAAAAATTGAGGAAAAACCTCGAAGAAAATTGCCATCAAAAGATTCAAAAGATGACTTAGGGATATGCCTGAGTGATTAGTAAAATGCATGATAGTGCTATCAGCAGAACACAGAGTCTACATTTTTTGGAGGGACCCCGTAGTAGGGCTGTAGGTAATAAAATATATTTCATAAAGCTTTTAAGAGGCAGTGCTTTACACAGGATTCAGCCTTGCTAAACTTAGGGATGTGTGTAGTCCTTCTAAGGTTTTTGTCCACAGCCTCTTTCTCTTGTTTAATGTAGAAATTAGAAGTTGTTTGGTGGCAGTGGCAGCTGACTGTAAAGGGGAAGAGTGATTAAAGAAAATGAATACATTTCAAAAATCAAAATTTATTCCCTGCCACTTGTCCTAGAGTTCTTGTGTGATGCTAGGCGAATTGTACTTTACTATTGTATTTCTCTGGTACTGTCTAAAATGGGGAATGTTCACAACATACCTTGTTCAAGCGTATGATGTACAGGGTGATAAATGAGATTGCAGAAATTGCTGTATGCAAAATCGTGCATTGCATAATGTGATTTGCATTCTTTTTTTTTAAACAAAGGATGCTAGAAAGATATGTCATGAACAAAAAAAGCAAGAAAAGGACATTTTGACAAACCTGAAATGACAGAGATGGGAGACCAGATAGGGTGGAATCCAGAGAATACAGAATCAGAGGTGAAGTTGGAACAGGCAAATAAAAAGCACAAGGAGTCCAGCCCCTCTCTTCACATTTCTATGCAAAAAAACCCCCTTCACTTCAGACATGTAGGCTGGTGTGGTTTCAAAGCACATCTTTGAAATTTTGGAAAGCCTCAATGAATCCACTACTCTTACCGTTTTCATTTTTCATATGCTATGGAAGAGTTTGTCCATTTTTATAAATCTGCCTGCTCAACAAAGCTTTAGCTGGACAGCCATTTGAACGCGCTGAAGATCTGGCAGAGAGAATGAAAAGATATTATCCTTCGTGTGCTGAATCTGCTGATAGTGTCATAACATCACGAACTATTTTCTGTGAAGTTAATGGAAAAACATTGTACTGGTAGCCACTTGGAAACAAAAACACCTAGAATCTTCTGAAATCTGTAAACCTTTTCTCCCTATGATATACTGGGAAAAAGAAATCTTTCCTACATGTTCTTTTGTATTATTGTCAGTTGTGGTGGCTGTGTTCTTTACATTCATTTTGAATCTGTGTTTCCTGTCATGAGCAGATTAAAAACAGAAGAGCAGAGTGAAAGTTTTCTATTGCAAACATCTGTGTCTGAAAAAGGATTGTATTTCCATGCCCTGGAACATCAAGGGGAAAAGCTTGCCCTCCCCAGACACACACCTTTAGTTTGCAGCAATAAGGAGTTTATAGACAAGGTTGGTTTACTACAGTAAATAGAAAACCCAAATCTGCTATTGTTTCTGATGGTTAATCCAGCCTGGATGTCTGAGGAGACCTTCTGTCATCGTTCCCAGCAGAGATCTATCTTATTTTACATCTGAGAGAAAAACTGAATGCTTAACATATTTTAATGTAAGCAGTGCTTTTAATAACTCATGTCTTCTGAATGTGATACTCAGTTTTGTATGCAAATATTGCTTGTCTAGATAGTGTTCTTAGGAACCGTTATTAGAAATGGAAAAGGAATGCTCTTGTCCTCCATAAATTAAATTAAATCCACAGGAAGAAAAAAAGTCTGTGTCAACAAACTTCACAAAGGAAAAACTAGTGCTAATGTATCATCCATATCTGTCTGCTTTGAAAGAACACAAGACTAGAAAAGATGTTGCAAGATCCACAGGGGGCCAGAATATACAGTATGCTCTCATATTACCTGATATTCCTGTAGGAATTTAGCCTTGGAAAAAAGGAAATTTATTGGTTTAGATAGTGCCACAAGACCTTCCTATCTCATACATAAATGCTCTCCTGTCAAAACCTTTGTATACCAATATTCATTCAATGCAAATACTACCCAGATTATATTTTACTAGATTCCTGAATTTCCTTACCCCACTGTACTTAGAGAACTGGTCAATTGTATGCAAAACTGTAACAAACCTGGGAAACAGTTTAATAAAATCATTCTCTGAAATGGTTATTTAGTCATAATGTTCTTGGGCCCTGTGGAGATTTTGCTGGTAAGGAGTAGGATTTCTGAAGTAGAAACATGTCTTCATGGTCTGGTGTTTTTTTCGCGTAATGTTATTGGTCTTATCTCTCCTGGTCACTTCCTGAATCTGCAAAACATCCTTCAGATATACCCAGCTAACGGTGATTGATATTTTCATACTTGGGAATATATTAAAAGACTCTTAATACTGCAACTATTATTACTAGAATTAGTAGAGAAATTAAGCATACTTAAAAGCTTCAAACCAATATGGCAAAGTTAGTTAATTACCTGTTAAAAAAGAATCTTTTAATTAGTCAGCCTTGGAAATTGTAGAAAAAGGATGGAATTCACACAGTCTGAAGCTCCTTTGTAACTCCACTTCTCCAGATAAGAGAAACTCCAAGCTGTTATTTTAACAATGGTGATTAGCATAACATATCTCTTGCTTTCTCTAGAGCATATTATTAGTGTAATTCTCCTGTGTTTTAATATGTCTATCCAAAAGTTTAATAAGATGCTACAAAGAAAATGAAATTAGTCCCTTAAACTGATTCTGGAATAAGGATATTGGGAGAGTAGGATATGAAGAGATCTGATCACCGAATTCACATTTAAATCAGGAGTCATTAGCATCAGATACTTCTTAAAAGTCACTGATGTGAAACTTACCATACATTTCTATAAATTGTTCCCATTTCTAAACTTTATGCCCTACTTCCAACAATCTGAGTTGGTGTAATTTCACTTTTCAGTTTTAGATCGTGGAACTTTATTGCTTTTTAAGCTGAAACACTTTGTCCTTTCAGAAATTCTCTCCAATTATAATTAAGAAATATATCTTTTTTCTTAAGCAAGTAGCATAGACTATTTTTTTCATAACTGTCATCATAAAATAGGCATTACATATTTTAAGTTATTTGTAGCTCCCTAATCTTTGCAGCTTTTCAACCTCTTCGTATTAAGTACCAAAATGTTTCACAATACTATTACAATACTCAATATAATACAGTACAATATAATATAATATGATCATACTAATTTGCCTGCTTCCAATGATCTGCATTAGGAAAAAAAAAGGAGGTGTTGCTAAGAAAATTTGCAGGAAGATTGCTGGAATAATAAGTAGTGTGTGTATATCTTGAGAACAGCCTTGCCTTCTCCACTGCACTGAGAGCTCAGTTTCTTCTGGCATGTCTACCACTTTCTGTGTGAGTGGTTTCCACAATATTCCAACCTGTAAGTGACTTACAATTTTTTGTTTTCAGGTGTGTGACTTGCACATGATGTTTAGACACGCTTCTTGATAGTTCCCTTTCTTACAAAAGAATCCATCTGTGTATAGCTGGCTCTTTCTCAGTACTGTTTATCATTCCACTGAGCTGTGCATCATCTGCAAACTTTACTAACTGTGCTCTCATCTTTTCTTCCATGTTGTTAATAAAAATACTAATTACTTAACTAAGAGACTTAACACCTGTTAAACTGTTAGTGATTTGGCATCCATTTAATGTACTGCTCAATATACACTTTACTGATTATTATTAAAATTAGACTGTGGTGAGATACCAAAATATCAAAATGTAGATGTGGCATGGCCAAGTGTATTTTGAGATGCTAAAAAGACTGAAGTACATAAAAGACAAAGTTGTTAGAGTATCTCTGAAAAACAAATAAATTCAACTGGGTAACATCAAATAATATCCCCAGGTAAAGATTTTCAAGATTACTTAAAAAAAAAATATATATATATATATATTACTGTTTATACAGACATCTGTGGTTATGCAATGACTATTTTGCTTCTGCCTGAGGAATACAGAACACCTATGGTTTTTGAGATACTTCCATGGGAAGCTGCTTTGTTTCACCAGAGCAACAAAAACATTGTCTGAGATTGACAGACAGACAGATAGCTAGCTAGCAAGATAGATAGATATAGACAGACCCTAGCACTCCTTTCTTTCTGCACACTGAATCCCTGATGTTCTGTCCCCTCCACTGCTGAGGGAGGAAGGTAGCTCAACCAAGCAACCTTGTTCCATGTCCCTTGTTTTTCTGTACTCTTCGTGACAGTGGCAGTGGCTGTTCAGCTCCCCACACATTTTCCCTGAGCCCTCTGCTTTAGCTGTTCACCATTTCTCCATTTCAGAGTTGAAGGGCCATTGTCCCTCCTCCTTTGAGCAAGAGAACAGTATTTTGCCCACAGTGCTGTGAACCTGGAGCCATCCTTCAGCACGTGCCCATTTTTCCTCTCCATCTCTCCTCCAAGGACGGTGCTCCTGGCCTCCCATTCACTGTGGCAAACAAGCATGCTGCCTCCCACCTCCCTTTCAGCTTCTCCATAGTCTGGCACAATAGGCTGTTTCCTCACAGATGCTTATTATGAATGGCCACACTCACTGTTATTTTTGTTGTTGTTTTTTCCACATGCAGAATTGTTCTTAGGCTGCCCATCATCATTCATTGTTCTCCGTGAAACAAAAACTGCCATTGCCCTTGGGGGAGATGGTGACTGGCTATTCTGTGAGGCTTCATAAAACACAGACTCTGTTGGGAACAATGGGAAAAAGCCTTCTCAGTGTGGCCACCAGCTGAGGCTTACTGCCGCTTGCCGCCTGTCCGCAGCACTGGGGAGTGGCAGCCATGTTGAGGGAGGGCCTTGGCCTCTGAGTAGCCTCCAGGCCTTGCTGGGAGGGAAAATGCGATTACACACAGCGGAAGAAAAAAAAAGCATTAGCATTATGATTCACAGAAATAGGCAAGATGCTATTTCATAGAAGTTCGAACTCTTAAAGTCATTAAAGTCATTAAAAACATACTCAACCAAGTCAAACTGCAATCTGTGAAAATCCCACCTACACACGCATCCATTTCTCCCTAGTTTCATAATTTTATAGTAGCCTTTTTCTTCCATTATTCTTCATAGTAGGAAATTTCCTCTTGAACACAAGACTTAACCCTGCCATAGTTACACTGAAGATCTTTATGTACTTAAGAACTATGGCTATTTCAGTTGTTTTGTATTTAAACTGATAAAATTTATATTTAAAGATTCAGTATATATTCTCTCCTTTTCAGAGTGGAGATTTATTTAGAACAAGTTATTCATCTGGAATGATGAAGCTGCATTCTCAAGTGAAACACTGAGGTATACTAGATCAATACACCAAAAAGTGTGTTGCTGGGAGCTGAGCTTTCTGAATTAGGATCAGCCATCAATCCCGGAGAGGTTGCTAGGTGTGCTTACTGCCTTACATGCCAGCTAGATGAGGGAACAAGCAGGTGTCCATGTGTTTAATAATAAATTAATAATAAAAAAGCCCAAAGTGAACACTGAGTGAATTAATTAGAGTGACTAAAACAGTGAAAAGCAGGAGAAAACTGGGAGCAAAACAAAAATCATGATACAAGAAATGAAGTGAATACACAGTGGCCTTGAAAGAAAGCATTTAGTGCAAAATGCAGACTGCAAGCAGAACTGGATCATGAGCAAAGCACTGGATTCTTTTTCCATCTTACTGTATTTGAAGAAGTGGGACTTTGTTTGTAGTAAAACAGGATTACTTCAAAGAAATACCTGGCCCTTGTAATCAATTTCTCATTCTAATGGAAACAGCCTGCTATGTTTTGAGTACTGGCTGACTGCTCAGGCCATGATAACGCAGAAAACAGAACAATGAGGAAAAACAGAGAGGGAGGATGAAGAGAGATTTTGGAAAAAGAAATGGCAAAATGGAAGAAAAATGAAAACTTGGAGGAAATGAATCTCTCAGATAAAGCACAGAGAGATAAAAAGTATGTATCAAGTACGTATTCTTCAGTTTGATAGCTGGGAGATGCTTGTGGATCTGGAAGAGAGGAATCCCTAAGGTATACCCTTGTTTGAATTTGTGATGAAATGGAAGAGCCTGTCTCTCCTGTACCGTTACCATTTCAAAAAATTAGCCCTCTCAGGCAGGCCACAGGGCATCATGATGGAGGGTTAAAACACATGAAGCTGCTGCCCATTTGGAACACACTCCGTCTTCTTTCACATCTGCAGAGCATTTAGCTACTTGCATCTGGTTGTGTTTGTGCAAATATAATTCCATATTCGCTAATAATTCCCGAGGCTAAAGGCCCCTCTCCTGTAACCTTGTTAATATTCTCACAAGGCCTGGTGTGAACGCCTCACAGCATTTGGATTAGAATTCAGTCTGGTGGGTTTTTTTTCCTCCCCCTGTCTCTTACCCTTCTCTCTCTCATACTTTTCTGGCCTCCAGTTTCCTGGCCACCCACATGACGAGACACTCTCCCTCCCTCTCTCTCCCCATTCTCAGTTTCAAGGAATTTCCTTTTGTCAAAGGCAAAGTGTGATTGACATATTTTCCCCCTCTTAAGTGCAGTCTTCTTAATACTTGATTTAACTATGTCCTTATGGGGCTCGTATAATCATTACATAGGTGAGAAAGAGACCCCCTGCTCCCTCTCCACCATCCGATCTTGGTCTTCAAGCTTCAGATTGCTGGCTACTTAGCACTCCTTACATGTTTTTTATTCACTTTTTAAATACATTTTTATTAATTTGGTGCTGATGTTTGATGACTCCAGATTGACAGCCTTGGAAACTGAGGTCATTTGTTTATCCACAAAACAGGTACCACCAAAGCAGCACATCTGCCAGCTCCTCTATCAAAGTGCCTTGGGCTCTCCTTTCAAAGCACCTTACTCAGGTCAGAAAAACGACCTTCTTCTCTTCCCTTTTTGAGGAGAAAGAAATTCGGTTTCCTAATCAAACCTCAACACTGATGTTAGGATTGATCCAAATATGAGTCAGAGCTCACCCTGACTACAGTGTCACAAGAGTCAGGGACATACATAAGCAAGGTAAGAGCCACTGTTATTAACTGTCTGGACTTCAGTAAGACCTTGGACACAGTCCCTCCCGATATCCTTTTTCCCAAGTTGGAAAGAGATGGATTTTACATATAGATTGTTAGATGGACAAGGAACTGGTTGTGAGTTTGTACCCAGAGAGTGGTGGTCAATGGCTCATTGTCCAGATGGAGCTCAGTGACAAGTGGTGTCCCTCAAGGGTCAGTACTAGGACTGATGCTCTTAAATATCTTCATCAGTAGCATCAACAGTGAGATTGAGTGTGCCCTCAGCAACTTTGCAGTTGATGCCAAGCTGTGT